GCTGCCCCACAGCCAACACCCCACACGCCATCCCCTCCTAGAGCCAGCTCCCCTGCCACACAACCGGTTCCCCACATGCCATCCCCTCCCTTTGAGCTTTGATCCGTGAGTTGCTGAAGACCCCACGGCTCTAGCCCGTGGAGCTTTGATGAGCCGGGCCGTTTGAAGTCTCGGGAGTGGTTAATCGCTCCCTGGTGGTGAGAGGCGGAGCTGAGCTCAGCTAAGCAGCGAAGACTGGGGATAAAAAGTCACTTGTGAGGTGAACTCAAGAGCCACAATCAGAGACAGCTAACGGGAGCTTCTGAGGGAGTTTGGCATGGGAGAGTCTTTCCTCCCAGGTTCAGCTCTGTGTAGGGTGACCAGACAGCAAATGTGAAAAATCAGGACGGGGGTGGGGGGTAATAGGAGCCTATATAAGAAAAAGACCCCAAAATTGGGACTGTCCCTATAAAATCAGGACATCTGGTCACTCTAGATCTGTGTGTGATATCAAGATAGTCAGCAATGGAACGATGGTGGTGGCCTGCAGCGGAAGTGCCACGCTCTCGTTCCTGCCTGAAGCCAGGCGGGATTTCCTGGGCATGAAGTGACCGTGCCGGAGCAGAAGATGCTTGGACTGGAGGGGAAAGCTGAGACACTACTAAGAATCAGAGAAGCCTAGGAGCTTCTAGACAATTTGGGAAACACCCGTGCCCCAAGTTCAATGAAGAATGGAGCTGAGAGTGGGAGTCAGACAGGAGACCTGGCAGTTCATAACTGCCGGAGGAAGAGGTCACAACGTCTTTCTGTACAGATGGAGAAAGATGAGGATGGGCAAATGGGGGCCAGCAGAGAGAAGAGACGCAGGAGGAATTACACACAGCTAGGAGGTTAAAACAATATTGGTTCTTCAAAGTGGAAACTATGGAAGATGCGTCTCAAGATCCAGCAGGTCCCAGGGAACAACGAGATGTACAGGTCACGCATGCAGAAGCCAGCTCAGCCCAACGGATAAGAAAAGCAAGTTTACCTGCAAAGAATTCTCCAACCATCCAAGGAAGACAGACGATCCTTGTCGGAGATTCAGTACTCAGAAGAATGGAAAGAATGTGCTTTATCTGTTAGGACTTTGATCCATAAGCATTCAAGGTCATTTTCTTTGGAGTGATCAGTGATTCGGAACAGGTAATGCCATTTTTGACAGAGTGCCACACCTGCTCCCCTTTTGCCCATTCAATCTTCCTAACTAGGTTATAAACATTGATTTTAACCTTCCAGTTGTGCGAAGCATCCCGCCAGGTTTCATTAATCCCAACTAGGTTGAATTTATGCTCATAAATGAGCAATCCGATTCCTTATTTGTTACCCAGGCTCCTAGCATTAGTGTACAGGCAATTCAATAATTCCTTCTCTTCCTGTCCTTTGGTGTCTTGATTAATTTGCTTCTCAACATATCAGTTTTGTGCTAACTCAGTACTCATATCTTCCATCTTTCTACCCTCCCCTTTTGCTATTAGTTTAACCCCCTCCTGAACACTCTATCCAACCTGTCCCGGAGAAGATTGGTCCCCCTTCTATTGAGATGGAGCCATCCAATCTATGCAACCCCTTTTCCCCATAGAAGGTGGACCAATGTTCCACAAAACCCAAACTCTCCACCCTACACCACTTACCTAGACAGCAATTTGCTTCCAGAATATTCTGTGTTCCTTGGTTCATTCTTCTTCAGCATGCTTCCAATTTCCCTGAAATCATCTATTATCTGTGAGATATCCTGCGACCCAGTGGCATTAGTGCCAATATGAACCACCATCAATGGATCCTTGCCCGTAGACTTCATGAGCCTATCCAATCTTAGAACGACAGCTTGTGTCTTGGCTCTGAGAAGAAGGCATACTGTCCTGTTGTCTGCCTGCCCCGTCCGTCCCTAAGCTGCAACAAATGGGTTATAAGAAACTGAGGTCTTACACAACCAATCATGTTGGAAGGCTTTATCTTGGGCACCCTTTGATCCAGTGACCCCCAAAGGTGCCCCACACTCTCCCCTGGGGCCTGAACTAGCACTTTCCAAGCCCATCTGACTGGGGGCGCAGGCTTCAGAGAGGATGGAAAATTCAAACAGAAGCCGTGTTGCAACCTTAACAATGAGCCAGCTCTTGTCGTCCCATAATCCTACCCACCCCCCATGCCTTCTGTCAGCCCTCACAGAGCGCAGGACCCACGCTTGTCCCGACTGGCCTCCACACTAGCAGCATTAGGCAGCAGCTGCACACAGACGCCAGGAGGCTGCAGGGCTTGGACTCTCATTTATTGGAAAAAGGAAGATGCCCATGAAGAAGGCCCACAAGCCAATGAGTCCCATTGGGCGTCTGGGCAGCTCCGGCACCAGCACCACTCCCCTGGGGGATCCTGCACTCCCGAGGACGGAACAGGCAGCGGTGTATGTGTGTGTGGGGGGGGGGAACGTGTGGGCGTGCAGAGAGAGGGGCCCAGGAGACACAATCGAGGGCAGAACGGGTGCCCCCCGGCACTGTTAGACTCCACGCCTGACTCTGACCTCACAGTGACTGTGCAGGGAGTCCATGGAGACTGTGTCCCCCCGGGACATTCCCAGCAGGCCCACCGCAGAGCCATCGCGCCGCGACACCCTTGCAATTGAAGGAATACAGGGGAGCAAGCAGGGATAGACCCTGTCGCCTGGCACTGCCTGTTCCCCTTCGATAGCCTCTCTACAGGATCCACCAGCTGGCCTCAGGGACTGGCTACCATTGGCTGTTCTACGCCGTGCCGTTCCCCAGCCCCGTGCTCAGCTGGGATGTGGCTGGTCAGTCTGTCCGTGCAAAGCAAGGAAGGGTCGCTCACAGACTTCCTGGAGGAACCAGCATTGGGCAGGGGCTCGGCAGGCAACGGTACTCTGCCATCGTTAGGGTCCAACCCCAAAGAGACGTGTTACTCCATGCCCAGTCTGCGGTGCCCGCCTCAGGTCACGTGTTCTCCCGGCCCAGGGCCTCGGGGCCAGGCGTCTGGTTCTGGGATTTCAGCAGCTGCAGGGCAGGCTGGGGCTGGGGCGCGGCGCTGTGCTGGGGTGCGGCGCTGAACTCCACCGGCCCGTGGCGCAGCTGCTTCCGGTACTGCACAAACATACAGAGCTTCAGCACAATGGCCAACACGTTCTTGCCCATGAAGATGCCCGAGACCCGGGCGTCCCGGAAGAAGACCATGTTGCTCCCCCTGATGAAGAGGGTGGCGATGTTGACGGTGAGCAGGCTCAGAATGGGGTAGAGCATCATCCGGTGCGGCACGATGCTGAACCCCTGCATGCTGATCTCGCACAGGGACACGCAAGGGAGAGTCAAGAGCAAAATGTAGCAGTAGAAGAACATCAGGCCCTCAGCCCAGAGGGGCAGCCCTTTCTTCTGGGGCTCCCACAGGTTGGCCTGGATGTCCAGCACGTCCAGCATGTCAATAACAACCCAGAAGAGGCGGTTGCGGAGGTCCTCCTTCTTCTTGAATGTCCGGACGTAGTCCATGTGCTCGGTGGCCACCAGCAGCACGTAGAGGGCAGGGATGCAGATGGACAGCAGCAGGGTCAGGGCTTTGCGTGCCAGAAGGTCCAGGCTCTTCCGGTCAGCCTTGTAGTTCTGGTAGACAAAGTAGACCTTGATCTCCAACACGAAGACGTAAAGGAACCAGAGGATCATGGCATAGCCGCGCTTGGCTGTCCTCACCTCGGCCCCGACCCAGACCGCCATGTACCGGAGCACCAGCAGGAAGCAGACGTCGCCCACCGAGACCATGATGCAGATGCCCAGTTTCCTGGAGCCCTGGTTCTGCTCCACCAGGTAGGCATCCATCAGCACCAAGCTGCTCATAATGAGGACGGTGGAGAGGCAGACATGGGGCTTGTTGACGGGCGGTGGGGGAACCATCCTGGAAGGAGGAAGACACGGGTCAGTCAGGCAGCTCCTTTGCTGTAGGACTCTCTCTGCTCTGAGTGGTGGTCAAATCTCCCCTGCCTTGGTGGGCAGCACGTTCCTCCCGGCCACCTCTCTCCCAGTCAGCTGTGGGCAGCAGGGGGAGGGGTGCTGCTTTGCATTGTTAAGGTCATTCCTCACAACAGCATCCCTGTACCCCCCATCATACCCCTGCCAACAGCATCCCTGTTCCAGGTCCCCTGTGCCCCCCCTCATACCCCTGCCAACCCACAGTGCAATTAAAATGGTGATTAATCATGACTATTCTTTAAAATCTAGCTAATTTGTTTTGCGTTAATGGCTTGCATTAACTGCAATTAATTGACAGCCCTAATTGCCAGTGACAGAGAATCCACCATGACCCTTGGTACATTGCGCCAATGGTTAATTACCCTCATGGTTAAAATGTAATCTTATTTCCAGTCTGAATTTGTCTAGTTTCAATTTCCAGCCATTGCATCTTATTCGACTTTCGTCTGCTACAACGAAGAGCCCGTCATCAAATTTTTGTTCAAGTCGAGACTGTGATCACAAAATAGCAAATCGGTTTTCAGTGTCTCTGTATCTGAACTTTGGAGATGGTGCAAAACTCTGCATTAAACAAACCCTGTGACACCCTTAGCGCCAATGCAGCTGTTACTGCTCCAGGTTTCTGTGTCCCTGCTGACCTTCGTAGGGGCACCTTATTTTGTTCTGTGTCGGCACAATTCACTAGTCTTTAACACGCGTGAATGTGAAGGGGTGATATTTGATAAGTCTTGTAGTGTCACTTTGCCTGGTGACATCCAAGGGCCTCGATTTGATAAATTCCTCCCGTGCCCAGACCTCTCACGCTGTGCACAGAGAAACCCAGAGCACGGACTCAAACTGCCAGGGCCCCAACCCTCACATCCAGCGTGGTGTGATCTGGGCCCTGTGTTTTAGCTTCGTGCTCTGGATTCCTCGACTGCTGGGGCATGGACGCGTTGCCTGATACGTCCCCCTCCTCCTCCGTCGTCCGTGCAGCGTGTCCTCCTCAGGTACCAGGGAGGATGCCACCCCTCCCCTGGGGCCGTCTCTCTTTCTGGCCTGGGCACAGCACTGGGGCAGCTGCTGCGGCTTGCTGCATGGGGAAAAGAGGAGGAGCAGAGCCAGGATCCTGACTGCTGCTGCTTCGCAACTGCTCTGGAGAGAAGCCAGCCCCCGGGCTGAGACGGGAGTGTGTCTGTCCCAGTGGAGGCACCAAAGCCCCCTGTGAACTGACGTGGCCGGCGACTAAGCCTGGAGCAGTCTGAGGCTATGGATGTTATGCTGACCCACACTCCGCCCTGGCAGAGGTCTCTGCTGGG